AACTGCTCTCCTGAGGCTCACAAAAGATTTACTAACAGCTAAAACCAATGGACACTATTCTGTACTCCTACTTCTGGACCTTTTGGCTGCCTTTGATCCAGTTGACCACCCCTCCTGCTTTAATACCCTGATCTCTGTAACTGTGCTCTTCATTGATTCTCATCCTACCTATCCCACAGCACCTTCAGTGTCACTTGCAATTCTACTTCTTCCTCTCCTCCTCCTTTCTCCTTTGGGGTCCCCCAAGCTTCTGTTCTTGGAACTCTCCTATTCTCCATCTACATAACCTCCCTGGGTCAGCTGATAGCCTCCTATGACTTTCAGTATCACTTCTACACTGAAAAACAAAACCTAAATTTATCTTGACTCCCCTACAGCTTTAACAACATCAGTCTCTGTAACTCACTCTTCAGGGTTTTCACTGATACATCTGGAAACTTCAGTGTCACTTACAATTCTACTTCTTCCTCTCCTCCAGGTCAGTAGGGGGCCCTTTGGGGTCCCCCAAGGTTCTTTTTTGGACCTCTAGGCTTTTTCTACAGTTCCCTGGGCAAGGAACAGGGGCCCCATGACTTTCCCACTATTACCCGGGGGCCCCAAATAAGTTGTCAGTCCGCCCCATCAGCCTCACACATCACTAATCTACTAAAAGATAAATCAGCCTTGATGTCACACCACTTCTTGAAAATCAATCTATCCAACCCAAGCTCATAATATATCCTCCCCCTAACTGCCCCTTCCCCTGACAAAATCAAAGGCTCAACCATCAACCCATCCCCACAATTCAAGGTACTAGGTATAATCCTGGACTCTGAACTATCCTTGGCAAAGATACCACAAAGCTCCTAATGCACTCCTAGTTATCTCTTGCCTCGACTACTGCAATTCTCTCCTCATTGGCTTACCTTTACATAGGCTATCCCACCTCCAGTCCATCATGAATGCTGCTGCTGCTAGGCTCATCCACCGTGCCAACTATTCAGTGTCTGCCAACCCTGTGTGCCAGTCCCTGCATTGGCTGACACTTACCCAACAAATTAAATTCAAAATACTAACAACAACTTAGAAAGCCATCCCCAACTCAAATCCAAATCACTCTATATATTCCTCTCACGATATGGTGCCTTCTAGTTCCCTTGTCATCTCTTCCCATGCCTCACTCCCGGACTTCTCCCGAGCCTCTCCCATCCAATGGAGTTCCCTACCCCAATCTCCTACTCTGTCCACTTTTAGGTGATCCATGAATACTTTTCTCTTCAGAGAAGTCTATCCTGCCTCCAACTAACAACTGTATTTATATTTTTCCATCAGCTCAACCCCCGCAGTTATTACCATTTGTATCACTTGACCCTTCCCTTTTAGATTGTAAGCTGTAATAAGCAGGGCCCTCTGATTCCTGCTGTATTGAATTGTATTGTAACTGTACTGTTTGCCCTCATGTTGTAAAGCACTGTACAAACTTTTGATGCTATATAAATCCTGTATAATAATAATAATAATAATAATAATAATAATAACAACAAAGTATACCAATCATTAAAGTGGTATTGGTCCTATAAAGCCATGTATACATCACAATGATATGTTCTACAGGTACCACAGCCAGTTCTATAGTAACCAGCTGTTAGCCATTAATTCTAGAAAAATGAATGCCTATAGATATGTTACCACCTTAAACACGTAAACTACATGTGACTGTATATTTTCACTATTAAAAAGTTCAATGGCTGATCGCTTATATACAATAAGTTGCATAAAGGTTGTACACTGAGAGAAAAATAGAAGAAAGACTCCATATCCAGTCTGTTGGCAGATTGCCTTCTGAGTTGTAGAAGTTAAAGGATCAAGAAAGAGCTACAAGCAAATGGAAAAGGTGAATGCTGCCACAGGAACCCCACTATTGCCACAATGCACTTCATTGTCACATGTGGTGTCTTTTCAAATGAAAGTGGCACTTACAGATAAGCCCCTTGCTTTGGCATGGCTTGACCTGTTTTACCTGCCAATGTACCTGTGTCTTCAGAAAATGCAACTTTAAAAAGAGTTCTAAAGATCTATATACTGCATGTTGAAATGTGTTTTTTATATATTAAAAAAAATGAAAATTATTTTTAAAAATATATATTCAGATTGTTTTAACATTTAAAAACGTAATTTTAAAATATTTTTTCATATATTTGTAAATGCATTAAAAATGTAGATATGTATTTTTAAAGACATAATGTATATTTGAAATGTATTTTTAAAAATATTTTTCATATATGTTGTAATAAAAATACATTTCAACACACAGTATATATATATATATATACACAGGTGAAACTCGAAAAATTAGAATATCGTGCAAAAGTTAATTTAGTTATAAAAGTTAATTTATTTCAGTGCAGCAACTTAAAAGGTGAAACTAATATATGATATAGACTCATTACATGCAAAGCAAGATAGCACAAGCCGTGATTTGTCATCATTGTGATGATTATGGCTTACAGCTCATGAAAACCCCAAATCCACAATCTCAGAAAATGAGAATATTGTGAAAAGGTGGAATATTCTCGGCTCAAAGTGTCCCACTCTAATCAGCTAATTAAGCCATAACACCTGCAAAGGGTTCCTGAGCCTTTAAATGGTCTCTCAGTCTGGTTCAGTAGGAATCACAATCATGGGAAAGACTGCTGACCTGACACCATCACTGACACCCTCCATAAGGAGGGAAAGCCTCAGAAGGTAATTGCAAAAGAAGTTGGATGTTCCCAAAGTGCTGTATGAAAGCACATTAATAGAAAGTTATGTGGAAGGGAAAAGTGTGGAAGAAAAAGGTGCACAAGCAGCAGGGATGACCGCAGCCTGGAGAGGATTGTCAGGAAAAGGTCATTCAAAAGTGTTGGAGACTTTCACAAGGAGTGGACTGAGGCTGGAGTCAGTGCATCAAAAGCCACCACACACAGACGGATCCTGGACATGGGCTTCAAATGTCGTACTCCTCTTGTCAAGCCTCTCCTGAACAACAAACAACATCAGAAGTGTCTTACCTGGGCTAAAGAAAAACAGACCTGGTCTGTTGCTCAGTGGTCCAAAGTCCTCTTTTCTGATGAGAGCAACTTTTGCATCTCATTTGGAAACCAAGAACCCCGAGTATGGAGGAAGAATGGAGAGGCCCAAGGACCCGGAGTATGGAGGAAGAATGGAGAGGCACAGACTGCAAGATGCTTGAAGTCCAGTGTGAAGTTTCCACAGTCTGTGTTGATTTGGGGAGCCATGTCATCTGCTGGTGTTGGTCCACTGTGCTTCATTAAGTCCAGGGTCAACGTAGCCATCTACCAGGAGATTTTGGAGCACATGAAATGCTTCCTTCCCCAGATGAGCTTTATGGGGATGCTGACTTAATTTTCCAGCAGGACTTGGCACCTGCCCACACTGCCAAACGCACCAAAACCTAGTTCAATGACCGTGGGATTACTGTGCTTGATTGGCCAGCAAACTCGCCTGACCTGAACCCCATAGAGAATCTATGGGGCATTGCCAAGAGAAAGATAAGAGACATGAGACCAAACAATGCAGAAAGCTGAAGGCCGCTATTGAAGCATCCTGGTCTTCCATAACACCTCAGCAGTGCCACAGGCTGATAGCTTCCATGCCACGCCGCATTGAGGCAGTAATTGCTGCAAAAGGGGCCCAAACCAAGTACTGAGTACATATGCATGCTTCTACTTTTCAGAGGTCCGATATTGTTCTATGTACAATCCTTGTTTTATTGATTGCATGGAATATTCTCATTTTCTGAGATTGTGGATTTGGGGTTTTCATGAGCTGTAAGCCATAATCACACAATGATGACAAATCATGGCTTGAACTATCTTGCTTTGCATGTAATGAGTATATCTCATATATTAGTTTCACCTTTTAAGTTGCATTACTGAAATAAATGAACTTTCACACGATATTCTAATTTTTCGAGTTTCACCTGTGTATATATATATATATATAAAATATATATATAGTATTTCAAATGTATGTAAATATATTTGGGAAGAATATTTTTAAAATTTTTAAATATTTTTCTTCCATATGGGCACATTAGATGTGGATGGGGAAATCACTCCCACTGACTGACATTCTGACAACAGGGAATCTTTCCTGCTATCAGAGTACACTGGTCAGTGCTGCCTGATAAAGCTGCTGGCACTGATTCATTAGGATAGACCTGACAGGCTGCTTGAAAAGAAGTCAATGTGTAGATCGACTTCTGTAAAACTAGGCTTCCCATACATGGATTGAAATTTGGCTGGTCCCTATTTAACCAGGATGGAATTTCATTGTCAGCAACTTTAGAGGCGCTTTTTGCTTCTCTCCTCAGATCCCTCATACAGAAGAAATGTCATTAATTTATAGAATTGTCTGGTACTGATAAATAATTCCTCAAACTCTTATAAAAAATGTGTGTAAAATTACATTTATACACATATTAATCTTTACTAAAACAAATCCTGGAAAGGTGGTTGATTAATCTTCTAGCAGCTTTTTTCAGATCTTTGTTCCTCAGGCTGTATATAATTGGATTCATCATTGGGGTGATAACAGTGTACAGTAATGATAAGAGCTTATTTAGGGTTTGTGTCTGTCCTCTCCTAGGTGTCAAGTAAACACAAACTAGGGTACCATAAAACATGGACACAACAGTCAGGTGGGAACTGCATGTTGAGAAAGCTTTCTGTCTATCAGTAATAGACTGGATTTTTAAAATGGTGACTATAATATAAGAATAGGACGCAAAGATGGTGAAAAATGGGAAAATGAGAAAAATAACACCCAAAATTGTAATTTCTAAATGAGCAATGGTGGTGTGTCAGAGCAGGAGAGTTTCATAATTGGATCAATGTCACAGAAAAAGTGATCAATGACATTGGGACCACAAAATTCTAAATTTGATATGAATAAATTATTAATCAACACTACAAAAGTCCCTAAAATCCAGTGCATAGGACAACCAGCATCCAGCAAACCTGGTAGTTCATTTTCAAGGTATAATGCAATGGTCTACAGATGGCCAAATATCTGTCCCAACTCATCGCTGTCAAAAGAAGACACTCTGAACATCCTGTGAGAGCAAAGAAAGAAAACTGAGCTAGACAACCAGAAAATGACATTGTTGTCTTGTTTGCCAAAACAGTGCTGATCATGTTAGGAAGAATATCAGTTGACAGCATGACATCCAATGCAGAAAGCTGGGAGAGGAAGAAGTACATGGGGGAATGGAGGACTTTGCTGTAGGACACCAATATGATGATCAGGAGGTTTCCACATATTGTCACACAATAAAGTATAAGGAAAAGAAAAAACACCCAAAAATGTAATATTTTGAGGAAGCTGAAGTCCTACGAGGTGGATTGTGGTAATTCTGGTCACATTTCTCTGATCCATCAGCTGAAGGAAGAAGATTACAATTTTACAAATCAGCTTTGTCTATTTCAGTAAATGATTTGAGTTCAGCTTTAATTGCATTTTAAATGTTTTATATGAGTTACTACATGCTGATCATCTTCAAACAAAAGCAAAAATAACATTCCATCCTGTTAGTTCAGAGAGAATCAAAAAAATTCCCAATACTATTATTGATTAATCAAAATATTATAGAAATATGTGTACTACTGAGAAAGTGAATGATAAAGGCAAAATAGTGCTTCCAATGCTTTAATTTCAAGGTACCCATGTGCTCTTTTCATTCATGATTTCATTTTTTACAATTGTTGAAGAATTATTTTAAAATACGCCTATAAAGGAAAAATACAGATTTACTTACAGTATGTAAATAATCAAGAAAAAAATCAATGCCTCCGAAGATGTCTAGTGAATGTTAATTGTTTTTCAGTGAGTAGTACTTCTGCTTTTATAAATAACTAGAATTAATTACAAGGAAACAGCTGGAGTATGAAGTACATAATATTATTTTCTTGGGATTCATTATATTTACTACATAGGGAAATGATCTCTTGATGATTTAAAAATAACTAGAATTAATTGCATGGAAACATTGGGAGTCTGTAGTGCTTATAGTTATTTTCTTGGCATTCATTTTATTTACATAGGAAATGTCTTTTTCTTTCTTTCTTTCTTTCTTTCTTATTCTTTCTTTTTTTGTTCTTTCTTTTTTTTCTCTCTCTCTTTCTTCCTTCCTTCCTTCCTTCCTTCCTTACCTTCCTTCCTTCCTTTCATTCTTTCTTTCTTTCACTCCAAGCAATCAGGCTAAAAGATGCCACCCAGTGCTTCAGCTAGTCTGTCTAGGGAACAGGAGGCACACCGGGCCAGAGATTCTGTCAGCACTGCAGGGGCAGGCTCAGAGTTGGTTGACGCCACAGCATCTTGATCCAGGAATGGTTGTATGTGGAAATGGCACCAACCTTCTTTCTGCCCTCCGAAAGGGACACTTGACACATGTTCCATGCTTGCCACACATTCTGAATTTGGTGGTGCAGCATTTCCTGAACAGGTACCCAGGCTTTCAAGATCTTCTGAGGCAGGCCAGATAAGTCTGTGGCCATTTCAGTAGGTCATATACTGCCAATGTTCGGCTGGCTGAAATTAAATGGGAATTCAACCTGCCCACCAACTGACGCATTTGTGACATGCCCACTCAGTGGAACTCCACCTTTGGAAATTCTGCAGCTGCTGCACACACAGCAAAGGGCCATCAATGAGTACCTGTCAGGAATGGACTCGCCAATAGTGGTGGGACTCACCTGCCTTGTGGGTTGCAGTACCAGGACTGGCCAGCGGGTGCTCTCAGCAACCAGAGGCTCACTCCTGCAGTCAGCCAAAACACCTAAAGCTGATTGCAGGAGGTGCATATAAGGAATGGCCAGACTTGCAATCAGGGCCTTGGTGTAGGTTTCCCAAGAGCCCTTGTACCTGCATCCTGTCTGCTTCCTGTCTGATCCTGCTTGTTCCCTGACTCTGATTGAACTCCGCCTGTCCTGACCTCTGCTATTCCTGACCACTCTCTAGTCTGCTCCTTTGTGCCTTGTCTGCCTGATTGTTCCTGACCCGGCCCGTCTGACTACGCTATGCCTGCTCCTTTGTACCTTGCCTGCCTGTTTGCTACTGACCCGGCCTGCCCGACTACGCTTAGTATTGTTCTTTTGTTATCTGTTGGGGGTTTTGGTTTGGTTTGTTTGCACTGTGCTTATGTTTAGTCTTGCACTGCGTTTATGTATTGTTTAGTCTTAAATAAATTATATTGTTTATACTATATCCGAAGCCTGCATTTCCCTGTGTCAGTCACACACCTCTGGTCATACCCGGAGCCCTGACAGTACCTGTGTGAATATGGCACAAGAACAGGTTCAGGAGAGCTTGGCTTCTTTTTGCCACACCAGTGGCTGCTGATAAAGGATGTGTGCACTGACCTGTCACCATTTGAGAAGGCCACAAGGATGGTGAGCCATGACACTGCATGCATCAGTGACACTATCCCTCTAATCTTCCTCCTGGAGCATACGCTGTGTGGAATCATGGAAAGGGCACCTGAGGCAGAACAGCGGGAGGAAGAGGAGGATTTCCTGTCCTCTCAAGACCCCTTTTATGCAGATACCCTGCAGGGCCACAGAACACACAGCATGAGGAGGAAGAGGAGGAGAAGGAGGTGGATTGCAGCAGCATGGAAGTAGAGGATCACATACAGTAGTTATAAGGGGCAGTTTTCAGTCCCCAGAAACCCAGCCAGGTGTAGAACATGGCTGGGAGGAAGTAGTTCCTGACAATGTCATACTCAGTGACCCAGATGACTCAGAATCTCCTGCCTCCTCCAACTTACGCTGCATGGGCTCCCTGATTCTGCAAAGCCTGTGTAAGGACCCAATGATTCATGTTATCAAGGAGAGGGATCAATACTGCTTGGCAATCCTTCTTTATTCACATTACAAGGTTAAAGTTGCAGAGCTCATCCAGTCTTTGCAGCAGAAGCAGAGGATAAAACATTGTGAGGACGCCTTGAAAACAAAATTTGTATAACACCTTTCCAGACAATGAGAGGTTACCATTTCCTGTACAAAGTGTTTCTGAGACTTCGTCCTGTCAAAGGAAGAGAGGCGAGAAGGCGGCCGGCTGACTGATACCTTTAAACAATTCTTTAGTCCTCAGCGCCCAGGGCTGTTAGATTTAAGTACCCATCCGCAGCATCTGCATCATATGGTGCAGGATTGTTTAGGGGCAAAAGTAGACTTGGAGACCTTTCCAACTGAGCATCCACTGGGTTACTGGGTCTTGAGGATGGATCACTGGCCAGAACTTGCTCAATATGCAATCAAGCTTCTTGCCTGTCCTGCATCCAGTGTGCTTTCCAAACAGACATTCAGTGCTGCTGGAGATTTTGTGATGGATAAAATAGTGCGTCTGTCCACAGACTCCGACATTTATCACCAGCTGACATTTATCAAAAACTGAATCTGTCATGGATCAACAGCAACTATCTTGGTTTTTTTGGGGCACCACCAACACCCAAGGCCCAATTTTTTGGCACCTGTTCCACAGGTGCATGTAATTTTTTTTTACCATTTTTCTGTAATTGTTAACAATGTTTAACAGCAGGGTCCACGCCTGTGCCCAGCAAGCATAACAGTGTTCAGGCACCATCAACACCCAAGAACCAATTTTTTTGCACCTGTTTGACAGGTGCATCTAATTTACATTTTTCACAATTTTTCCCTAATGGTTAACAATTTGTAACTGCAGGTCCCATTTCTGCACCCAGCAAAATTAACTGTGAGGAGTTACAGTGTTCAGGCACCACCAACACCCAAGGCCAAATTTTTTTGCACCTGTATGACAGGTGCATATAATTAGAATTTTTAGAACAGGGTCCAATCCTGCAGTTGTTAAGAATAACTCTGAAGAGTTACAGTGGGAAGGCACCACCAACTGTTTGCCTGCCAAACACTCCACAATGCACTGCACTCTCACAGTGCACAGTATCCACCCCACACATGTAAGATAGAGGGGGGAATACTCTCCCCGGAAAAAGCAAAGCAATTGAATAAAGAATAATAATTTAAAAAAATAATATAAGCAAAAAAGACATAAAAAAAAAAATCTGGTATAGATTGGGGGGGACCCCACGCTGTTTTTTTAACAAACATGTCACTTAACTTCCCAAGCGGTAATCCTGAGAGTGGCTTGGGGTTAATTTTCAGTACCAAAAGCGGTAACCCCGAGCCTTGTCCTGCGATTCCCCGATGTCCCCCTGCTGTGTCCTCCGGTGTCTGTGTTCTCCCACCGATACCGGTATCCATATTCCGGGTTCCTTTCCCTGCGAGCGTAGCGATTAACGTATTCACTTTGTATTTCATTTATAATAAGCATGTCTGATTTATTTAAGTGTAATATTTTATTTCTAGTAACATTCACAGTCAAAAAATTAATTAAAAACAGTTTTAACATCATTGTTTAGGCTCTCTGCTTCTTAAAGTATATTGTATGGTAAAGATAGGAATTAAGTAATGTTCCAGGATGGCCCTCTGCTAGGTACCATAAAGATAACCTGGGGTGACATAATAGAATGAGACCTTAGTCAGGTGAGCACTGCATGTTGAGAAAACATATTTTCTGACATTAATAGAAGGAAATTTGAGTCCAGTGTATAAACTGTTGTTGCTATATACAGTAAAATCCTGTATAATAATAATAGTTCATCAGTCATGAGAGAATAACCCAAAGTACACATAATATGCAAGTCAATCTTGTATCAAAATATAGCAGAGATTGGGGAGATAGGATAACTGTAATTCAGCTATGAAGAGCAAATGTCAAGAGTCTTGTTAGTTAGATCCTACCATACTGTGAACTGCATACTTGTAACGATTACATGATAAGTCCACTCTGTAGTAAATCAATGAAAGTGGCACCACTCTTTGGCTATGAGAAAGCCGTAGGACCATC